CAAGTCAATTTGACCCATTGGGCCTGCACTAGTCCTTTTGTAAAGCCATTCAATTCATTCAATTCCTCTGTTGTTTCTCCATTCCCCCGTAAATCTTTTCCATTCAAGTATGTAACCAATTCCCTGTTGAATATCACTATTGAATTCGCTTCCACCAGTGGGTCAAGCAGTGCATTTCAGAACACAACAATTAGCTGTGTCATTACCTTTCTTCATGTCATCGCCCTTGAGGAGACCAACATTTCTACCACTGGAAATAGTTTTGCCTTACTGACTCTGTTAAAACCCTTAATAATTTTGGCCATCTTTTTCAAAACTCCTTTTAGCTTTCTTCACCCTCAAGAGAACAATCTGAACTTTGCCACACTCTCCAAAAAACTGAAGTTCCTCATTCCTGCCTGTTCGAAGAAGGGAGGGGACGTGGCATGGTGAACTTTAATTCCTTAACTATTCCAAATCAAACAAATTGTCTGATCATTCATCCCATTGCTGTTTGTACAACAATGCTTTGTATGGCCTAGGTGCAGTATTTCCATATGTTACAACTTCAGAAGCACTCCATCTAATGTTAAGGATTTTTAGATGTCTTGTGTTCATTGTACAAATAAATAAAGGCTGGACATAGGAAATATTGGTTATGAATGTGTGCTATGCTCATAAAGAATCCTGAAGTATGGAAGGGTCTGTCAGTTGTTGAGATCAATGGAATTAATATGCTTCACACAATTTAATGAATTGTTGCTGGGCCAAAAAATGGATCCACACACCAATTTCTTGCTTTTTCTGAATCCATGTGACTTGTATACATGAGCCTAGCATATTGACATGGATCTTGCAGAATTATTACCTGTTAGCCTTTAATATTACATTTCCAGAGAGTTCCAGTTCATTTCTTAATGACTAGAAAGTATGTGCTCACTTGGGGGCTCGTTAAATGTGTTCAGGCTACCTGTTGTTGATGATCTTTTTGAGCTGTTTCGGATGAAGTAGCTTGGTGACTTTGCTCTAGAGACCAATATGAATGAGACCAAATCTGAGATTATCTTCCAGCTGAAATTGAACAATATTTACTTGTAGGTCTTGAGGAATATCTTTGTTCTTCACAAGGTTTGGAAGTCAGCTTAGAGCATCAGAAGTAGCCATTTGGTAACCTAGTTTACTTTGAACTTTTAAATCATACCCATGGACCTTAAAACATAGCCATTTTGGTTGTAGAGTTTTACTGTGAGTGGTTTCCAACAGATCATTTCTAATGGCTGTTGTCAGTATTAACAATGAAATGATTGCCAAGTAGATAGGTGTGAGTCTGTTGCATCCTAAAAAAACAGAATTTCTGTTTCATTGTTTGAGTAGTTCACCTCAGTTCTTGTAAGGACTTTAGAACCAAATGCAATAAGTTTGGCATCCTGGAATAGACATACTCCCAAAGCCTTTCTTGGATGTATATATTTGGTAAAACGCTTGGCATCTGAGAACTTTAGACAAACTTTTTCCTGGTGGGAGTCTTGAGTGGGTATCTCTTTAGTGCGCTGTTTAGTCCACTTGGAATTAAACATACACGTTAACAACAACTTTTTTTGAATACACATAATGGAGCTGCACTATTCAGTGTTGTTATGCTTTTCTTTCCAGACGACATTGCTTTCTTCCATTGAATCCAGTTCCCACTTGAGTTTATCCTGAATGTGAATTCTGTATTTACGAGACAGCTCAATGCTAGGTTTGTCATCATCTTTCAGAAAGAATACTGCATCACCTTTAAAGTTGCCAAAAGCATCAAACCAGTCTAAGCAGATTAGTCAGGTCATATATATATATATAGACTCAATATTGCAGTTCACAATCTTTAATGTTGTAACTGACTGGACTGTTACCTTGAGGATTATTTTGTTACCTGCTGTTTCTTCTATGTGACAAATGCCATGAGTCATCACAATAAGCTGTTTAGCATTATCCAGATCAATGTCAAATGCATGTGTTGTCTGACACGTTATAAGCAGTTAGTTAATCATGATGAAGTGCACTGCATCAGCCAGTTTTTCTGAATATATCTCCTGTAAGGTGTGTAAAGGGATGACATTTGCACTTGCACTGGCATCAATCTTGGCATTTAGAGTACGATTTCCATTCCATTTGGGGTGTATCACTTGAATAGAGGTAATGATCATAGCTTTAGCAGGGCCAATATGGGAGTGTCAATTTTACCACATGCACTGTTTGACTGATCTTTAAGCTATGGCATTGCAGATATTTCCAGGATTTGGATGTGCTTTTGTGCCATGGAAAAATCATTCAACACATCATTAACATTGTTTCTTGGTTGACACTTCTTCATGTGCTGCTGTGCAGCTTTGTGTTGCATTTTGGAGTTTTCTGGGCAGCTGGGTTCCTTGCAGACTTTAGCCCAAAGTTCTCTTGTAGAACATAGCTTGCATATGATATGAACTGTTGGAGACTGTTGTTGCAGAGTCAAGCACCTGTAGATGATGCTGACCTGCATGGATTGCCTTGAACTTGCATCCTCTTTCTCGTGGTGCATCAATGGGATATTCTTTAGGTTTATTTAGAATCGCTTCTGTGGAGGCTTTAATTGGCACAGTGGCAATGACCCAGTTCCAAAAGCCTTCCAGCTGAGTTAGCTTCAGTGAAATCACACTCTGTATCTTGTACCGACTCGTGGCTATAAGTTTTACCTGGTGCTACATATATGACACTTTACAAATAGATCAGTGGTGGGGGCTTTTCTTTTGAAAGAGGTGTGTTCATAATTGTTCCCCTGTTGCGGTTGCTTTGCTTCACTGCAAGTTGTAACAATTGAGTCATGGTTGTTCAGCTCTGAACTCAGGTATGTGATGACTGTTAGAGGCAGGACACTTCACAACTCTCACTGCTGCTATCAGCTTGTAAAACCAAAAGTCTTCTTGCTGTCGCCGTGATGTAGTTTCTTATGTTAAATAGTACTGCCAGTATAATTTGGTTTGAGTATGGCCATGTATTTTAGCTCACATAACATATACCACAGAGACTAAGTACTTGTTGAGATAGATATCTTGAAGTTTATTAACAAAACTAACTTTTCACATTTGTATAAAATCATGGTCTTGTACATCATCTGAATTTGGTTCTGATGTTACTGTATGTAATTACACAAAACTGACTGATCACACTAAACCTACTTCATTGGACTGAGAGAATGACGAAAAGTAAGGCAAGTACGATTGTTTTGGCATGTGGCACGTTGTGAGGAGCATTCCCCATAATTTTTTTCTTCAATCCAAACCTCCAAGGCAGTGCACAGTAACAATTTCCAGAACCAGAAGTCAATACCACAATCACCGTCACTGATTGCCGTACATGGAACATCAAAGCAGTTGCACGACGTTAGAGAGAACATGGATTGTGATATCATGTGACTCTCTTAAAGGAACACTGTCTGTTTGATCTGGAGTCTGTGAAGTGACACAACACTTTTGATGTTATGAAAATACCAAGAAATATAAATAAGCTAAATCCCATTTTACCAAAAGCCTCAGAATCATATAGAACCTCTTCTACTAAACAACATCTACTAATTTTGCAGTATTCTAAAAATAAGTTGTTTGCATCTCGCTCAAGTGAGCAGTGCTGAACTATTGTAAAATGTGGCTTACTGGCTAATACCGGGTTCGATTCCAGCCTCGGGTGACTCTCTGTGAGGAGTCCGCACATTCTCCCCGTGTCTCCGTGGGTTTCCGCCGGGTATTTTGGTTTCCTCCCGCAGCCTAAAGATGTGCAGGCGAGGTGGATTCACTATGCTAAAATTGCCCCGTAGTGTCCAGAGGTGTGCAGGTTAGGTGGATTAGCCATGGTGAATGTGAGGTTATGGGGATAGGGTAGAGGAATGAGTCTAGGTGGGATGCTTTACGAAGGGTCAGTGTGGACTTGATGGGCCAAAAGTCCTCTTTTTGCACTGTAAAGCTTCTATGATTCTATTCTATGATTCTAATACCTCCCCCACTGAGTACACACATAAAACCTAGAGCATAAAACCGTTGTACAGTAAACCTGACACTTGTTCTGACCATGTGTTTACATGAGCTGAATTCCTTTTCTAATTCTGGAACCTGTTTAAAATGTCATCAAGTCCAGACAGGGAGCATTTTAAAATGGGACATGAATTATGAATGATCGGCATCACTCACACTGTTGCTTCAAATTTGGATCAGCAAGTATCTTGGACAAATTGGAATGATTTTGACTAATGTAAACAGGATCCAATGATGTCGCTTCTATTCTGAGTGTATGAACAAAAATAGATGTCAATACATTTTGAGATATTGCAGCAGGACTGGAAAGCAGCATTTCCAGCTGAGGGATTGGACAGCTGTACACTGTTTGCTCTTGTAGTGGTATTTTTTCAAATGCATTAATACAGCTCAATCCCTGCCATGCATGACCTATTTTTGGTTAACACAAGCCATTGTTCTATTTCTGTCGCCTGTGGGCTGTGTTGTTGTTGATTCATTTGTAAACGTTTTATCACTTCATTTTGCCAACTTGGAGAGGAGTAAACAGGGGCAGAGCAGACTTGTGCGTACAATGGTTTAGACACTACACTTGCAAACCTCTAGTGCCTACTACGAAGCAAAATAAAGGCTTCCCTGAACTGTGGTGACTACAATTCCAGTTACTTTCAACTTAATTCACGAAACAAACTGGCCAAAAGAAAACTGCAAAAACTAAATATCTTTTGGAAAGAAAACTTTGAGTTCCTTTTTATAATTGTATATTTGGCTCATCCAAAATACAAAATAGAGGGAGGCACTTAACCATTTGGAATTGAAAGAGAGAGAGCACTTTACGATGTAATAATGTGCAAGTCATCTGATTATTTCGAGAGGAAGAATTAAGGAGGAAATGACTCTGTCGGTGTTCTGATGAATCTTTCATGTGGCTGAAGTGAGAACTCAAAGGAAAGATGCTGCAGACTATTTATGAGACTGAATCATGTTTCTCCTCAGATGGGGTGTCTGACCAAGAGCAACCGATCCAGTTGTTGGCTCAAGACCGAATGCATAACATGCTCACCTCAGGTAAGCACATTTGATATCATAAAGGTACTGCACAGTAACACTGCTTTCTTTATACTCCTGAATACATTTAAGTCGTTTGAACACTGCACTAAATATTCTGTAGAAACCTGATAATCGGACTACGGGGAAATTCTGTTTTTTTTTTTAAATTCAATATGTAACCTGTGCAATATTAATTGGAGATTATTGCAGAATAGTACTTGAATATGTTGCTTGAATTTGTTTCATATAAGTGTGTGCAATGAATATGAAAGGCAGTTCTGGAGCACGTTATCATGAATTATACAAATAGAATACTATGCCACTGAAGGGGGATGGCAACTTAAATTCCTTTTCAATATTACACCATCGTTCTTCCCCTTTATTAGAAATACTAATTTCAATCATATTGCTTAAGAGGATGTCGACAGGCCAGGCAGAAGGAAAGGGAAATCAGAGAGCTGGTTTAAAGGGCTTCAGATAACTTTAGATGTGCAGCTGGCGTGCTCTGAGTAAACAGATGAATGCATAGTTAAGAAATAAAACTGCAGATCCATGGAAGTACAGATTGGTAAATATAAATATGAAGGACATTGGTATCACTAAATGTAGGGAATGAGTTATGTGCATAGTTTGCCATTTCCTTAGACAGCTCCAGTGAGGTTGGACACGACAATTGTGGTTGCCTCAGTAATGACCCTGCTGCTTCAGGAAGACCATCCTTCAATTGTATAGACTTACACAAAACAGGACACGTACAAACTATGAACAGAAGGAGACCATTCGACATCTCGAACCTACTCTACCATCGATAAGATGATGGTTGATCTGCCTTTGTTTCGAGTTCCACATTCCTGTCTACTCCCTAGAACCTTGGGTCCCCTGCTTGACGAGAATCTATTCACCTTTGCTATAAAAATTGCCAATGCCCCCACTTGCACTTGGACAAGACAAACATGGCAACGGAATACATGGTGAACAGTAGGACCCTGGGAATCACTGAGGATCAGAGGGACCCTAGTATGTATGTCCACCAGTGCCTTAAGATAGCAGGACATGTGGATAAAGTGGTTGAGAAGGCATATGAGGTACTTGCCTTTATTAACCAAGGCATAGAGTTTAAGTGCAGGGAGGTTATACCAGAAATACATAAAATCTTGGTTAGACCATGGCTAGAGTATTGTGTGCAGTTTTGGAATCCACATTATAGGAGGGGTGTGATAGCACTGAAGAAGGTGCAGAGGAGATTTACCATGTTGTTACAAAAGCAGAACTTGCTGGAAGAGCTCAGCAGATTTGGCAGCATATGTGAACAAAAAAAATCAGAGTTAACGTTTCCGATGACCCTTCCTCAGAAGCGGACCCAAAACGTTAACTCTAATTTTTTTCTTCACAGATGCTGCCAGACCTGCTGAGCTTTTCCAGCAACTTCAGTTTTTGTTCCTAATTTACAGCGTCCGCAGCTCTTTCGATTTTCATTTACCATGATGTTGCCTAGGCTGGAGAGTTTTAGTTGTGAAGAGTGATTGGGCAGGCTGGGGTTGTTTTCCTTGGAGCAGGGGAGATTGAGAGGGGTTAAGACTGGGATTTATAAAATTATGGAGGGCAAAGAGAGAGTAGGCAAGGATCAATTGTTTCCCCATGGTGGAGGCATCAATGACGGGGGACATTGATTTAAGACCATAAGGCCATAGACCATAAGATATAGGATCAGAATCAGACCATTAAGTCTGCATAACCATGGGCTCTTATTTAACAGTCTCCTCTGCGGTGAGGTAACGGGAGGCATGGTGGCCAAGTGGGAAGGCGTTGGTCTCGTAAACTGATGATTGTGGGTGGGTGGCATGTTGGCTCAGTGGTTAACACTGCTGCCTCACAGCGCCAGGGCCTCGGGTTCGATTCCACCCTCGGGCAACTGTCTGTGTGGAGTTTGCACATTCTCCCCACGTGAGTGTGAGGGTTTCCTCCGGGTGCTCCGATTTCCTCCCACAGCCCAAAGATGTGCAGGGTAGGTGGAATGGCCATGCTAACTTGCCCATAGTGCCCAGGGATGTTTGTGTTAGGTGGGTTAGACACGGGAAATTAGGGGAATGGGTCTGGGTGGGATGCTCTTCAGAGGGACGGTGTGGACTTGTTGGGCCGAGTGGCCTGTTTCCACACTGTAGGGATTTTATGAAAGGTCTTCTGGAAATCCAAATAGAGTCATCATAGAATCCTTACAGTGTGGAAACAGGCCATGTGGCCCAACAAGCCCACACCACCCTTCCGAAGACCAGCCCCCTACCCTTTCCCTGTAACCCTGCATTTCCCATGTCCAATCCATACGCCTCTGGACACTACAGGCAATTTAGCATGGCTAATCCACCTAACCTGCACATCTTTTTACTATGGGAGGAAACCGGAGCACCCGGGGGAAAACCATGCAAACATGGGGAGAATGTGCAAACTCCACACAGACAGTCGCTCGAGGGTGGAATCGAATCCGGGTCCCTGGCGTATGAGACAGCAGTGCTAACCACTGAGCCACCGTGCTGCCCTAATCACGTCCACCAGCTCTCCTTTGTCTAATTTGCACATTACTTCCTCAAAGAATTCTAACAAATTTGTCAGACATGACCTTCCATTGACAAAGCCATGGCATCACTCAGCCCTTTTTACCATGCACTTCCAAGAACACCACAGGTTTATAACTTTTACTTGTCCTCTGCTGATTTGTAAAGGCTTTCTAATCCTCTGGCTTCCTCCTAATCTTCACTGCATTCTATGCCTTTTGCTATTATGCCGTCCCTGACTTTCCTTGTCATCCATGGTTGTGTCATCCTCCCTTTAGTATGTTTCTTCTTCCTTGGAATAAATTTTAGCTGTGCCTCCTAAATTACCCCCATAAACTCCTGCCATTTCTACTCCACTATCTTCCTACTAGGCTCCTCTCCCATTCCACTCTGTCCAGCAACTCACTCAATCAAGTAAGCCACACAAGGTTTAGAGAGGTTGTGAGGAAAGTCTTTTTTTCACCCAGAAGGTGTAGGAATCTGGAACACTCTGATTGTAAAGTTGGTAGAAGCAGAAACCCTTACAACATGTAAGAAGCATTTAGATGTACACTTGCAATGCCATGATATAAAGGCTATGGGCCAAGTGCTGACAAATGGGTTTAGAATAGTTAGCTGATTGTTTTTGACCGGTACTGAATTGATGGTCCAAATTGGCTTCTGGGACAGAGAGTTTCAAAGTCACACAACGCTTGAGAGAAACAAAATCTCCACATGTCTGTCCTGAAAAGGTGATCCCTAATTTTAAACCATGGCCTCCTAGTTCTGGACTCCCCCTCAAGAGGAAACATCTTTTTCACGGTCTCCTCTTCAAGACTGTTCAGGACCTCATACACTTCAATCAAGTCACCTATCACTCATTTAAACTCCAGAGGAAACAAGACCAGACTGACCAACCTCCTCAAAAGACAACTCACTCATTCCAGGTATTCATCTGGTAATCCTTTTCTGAACTGCCTCTAATGTATTTACATCCGTCCTGAAATAAAGAGCCCATAACTGGAAACGGTACAGGAGATGTGGTCTTACCAATGCCCTGGATAACTGAAGCATAATATCCTTCCTTTTATGTTTAAATCTTCTTGCAATAAAAGATAGTATGAAGTGGTGTTCTAGCAGGCTAATGTTTTGATATTCATGCACTAGAGCATTTAAATCCCTCCTGCATCTCGAAATTCTGCAGTCATTCTCCTTTTATGTAATACTATGCATTTTCATTCTTCCTGCCAAAATTAACAACTTCACATTTTCCCGGATTATATTTCATCAGTCAGATTTTTGACTACTCGTTCAATTGATCTGTAGTAGTCTTCAACTGGCTCATGTCCTCTTCACAAGATACTTTAGTACCCATCTTGGTGTCATCAGTAATTCTAGTGCTAAGACTTCACTCCTCTCATCTAAGCTTTGATATAAATTGTAAAATGTCAAAATCCTAGACAGACCCCTGTGGGACACCACTCATTGAAAATTGCCAGCATCCTAATATATTACCCTCTAAATGATGAACTTTTACTTTTACTTTTTGCAATAGCCTTTAATGTGGCACCTCATCAAATGCCTTCTTGAAATCCAAGTTCAGTAAGACTACAGCCCCCCCTTTATCCAAACTGTAAGTCATTCCTTCAACAAACTCCCATAAATTGGCGAAACACAATTTCCCTTTGACAAAACCATACTGATTTTTCCCAATTGCCTTGAATTTTTCTAAGCGGGCAGCCATACTTCCTTCAAAGCTCTATTCTAACAATTTCCCATGACAGATACCAAGCTGACTGGTCTACATATTCCTTTTCCCTGCCTCTCTCCCTTCTTGACAACAGGAGCTACATGTTTTTACTTTCTAGTCTGATGGAACCTTCCCTGAATCAAGGAAATTTTAGAAAATTAACTCCATTGCAAATATGAAATCATTAACAATTTATTTTTAGATCCTAGGATGAAGCCCATCTAGTCTCGTAGATTTGTCAGCCCACAGCTCAATATTTCTTCTTGTATACTTGGTCCTACATTGTGGTTAGTATTAGGCGGCCTGTACACCCACTCACTCTAGTGACCTCTTTCCTCTGCTATTCCTCATCTTCATCCACTCTGATTCTTTATCTTATCTCCTGAACCAACATTGTCTCTAACTATTGCAAAAATGCCCATTTTTGATTAACAAAGTTACCCCTCCACCTTTACTTTGCTTTTTATTTTTTCTTCAATGTCACATAATCCTCAATATTCAGTATCCAATCCTTTCCATCTTGAACATTCCACATTTAATTCGTTGCCTCCATTATTTAGGTTAAAACCCTCTCTTCTTCCCGAGATATGCATTTCACAAGAACACTGACTTCAGCATGGTTCAGTTGTAAACTGAATGGTGCAGCCCCCATCTTCCGCAGTACAGTTGCCAATTACCTATGAACTGGAACCCAATTCTCCCACACCAGTCTTTAAGCCACATATTCATCTCTCTAACTT